TCTCTTAGATTCACAGCAGACCTATCGGAGGAAACCGTCCAAGCCTGAAGTCAATGGTGGCATATACTGAAAAAAATCAATGAAATGAATGCTTAAACAAGAACACTTTATCCGGCTAAACTCTCACTCAAACTTGAAGGAACGATACACTATTTTGTGGATAAACAGCAGATCAGGAACTTCATAGACTCAAAACCTAGCCTAAAAGAATGACTGAAGGGGCTACTGTAAGACAAGACAAACCCTACAAGCACAACAAACCCTTACATAAAGATGGCATAGAACCCTATATCAATAATCTCTCTTAATGACAATGGTCTAAATACACCAATTAAGAGACACAGGATAGAAAAATGGATTCAGAGACTAAGCCCAACATTCTGCTGCCTACAAGAAACACATCTGGACAGTCAGAACAAACACAGACTCAAAGTCAAAGGATAGAAAACAATCCTACAAGCAAACAACTTCCTCCAAAAAGCTGGGGTTGCCTTACTAGTATCCGACAGCATAGATTTCAGATTGAAAAAGGTTAGAAGGTACAGTGAAGGCCATTTTTTATTAATCAAGGGACATGTACAGCAGTAAGAAATCACACTCCTAAACGTATACGCACCCAATGAGGGACAAACTAAATATCTGCAACTGCTAACAAACCTTAAGAAGGACATTGTTGGGGCTGGAGCGATAGCACAGCGGGTAGGGCGTTTGCCTTGCATGCACCTGACCCAGGTTCGATTCCCAGCATCCCATATGGTCCCCTGAGCACCGCCAGAAGTAATTTCTGAGTGCAGAGCCAGGAGTAACCCCTGTGCATTGCTGGGTGTGATCCAAAAAGGAAAAAAAAAGAGGACACTGCAAGCAACACAATAGTAGTTGGAGAATTCAACAACGACTTATACCCTCTGGATAGATCAAGAAGATTAAAACTCAGTCAGGAAATAATGGCTTTGGAGGAAGAAATAGAAGAGAGATGGCTAATAGATCTATACAGTACTTTACATCCCCCCCCCAAAAGAATACACATTCTTTTCCAGTGCACATGAAACATTTTTCAGAATAGACCATGTGCTAGGCCACAAAGCATACCTCAACAGAATCAGGGACATAGACATTATATCAACTATCTATTCAGACCACGATGCACTGAAGATAGATGTTAATCATGTACAGATGCAGAAAACCAAATAAAACACCTGGAAATTAAACAAATCAATGTTGAACAACGAGTGGAACAGGAAGTAAATCAAGGAAGAAATCAAAAGATACTTGGAAACAAATGAGAATGAAGACACAAGCTACCAAAACGTGTGGGACGCAGCTAAAGCCATGCTAAGGGGCAAACTTATAGCTCTGCAAGCATTTCTCAGGAAGGAAGAAAGGGACCACATAAACAACTTGACTTCACCGTTCAAGATCTTAGAAAAACACCAACAAAAGGAGCCCAAACCAAGCTGAAGAAAAGAAATAGTAAAACTTAGAGCAGAAATCAATGACACCGAAACCCAAAAACAATCTGAAAGATCAATGAAACCAAGAGCTGGTTCTTTGAGAAAATAAACAGGATTGATATAATACTATCAAGACTCACAAAGAAAGGGAGAGAACCCTAATAAACCGAATCAGAAATGTGAAGGGGAATATCACAACAGAAACCTAAGAAATTTAAAAGATCATCAGAGACTACTTTGAAAGTCTGTATACCACGAAACAAGAGATCCTAGAAGAAAGGGATAAATTTCTGGATTCCTATAATATCCCAAGGCTGAATCAATAAGATCTGAAATACCTGAATAGTCAGATTAATATTAAGGAAATTGAAACTGTAATGAAATGTCTTCCCCAAAACAAAACCTCAGGTCCAGATGGCACTAGAGAATTTTTCCAAATTTTCCCAAACATTAAAGAGGACCTATTTCCAGTTTTTCTCAAGCTTTTCCAGGAAATTGAAGAAACAGATACTCTCCCAAACAGTTTCTATGAGGCTTATATCTCCCTAATACCAAAATCAAACAAAGAAACCACAATAAAAGACCTACAGGCCAATATCCCTGATGAACACAGCCACAATGATTCTCAATGAAATACTATCAAATAGAATTCTACAACTAATCAAAAAGATCACACACCACGATGAAGTGGCATTCATCCTGGGGATGCAAGACTGGTTTAACATTCAGAAATAAATCAACATAATCCATTATATCAACAAAAGAAAAGATAAAAACCTTATGATCATATCAATAGATGCAGAGAAAGCACTTGACAAGATCCAGCACCCATTTATAATGAAAACTCTCGCCAAAATGGGTATAGAAGGGACTTTCCTCAATGTATACCCCCACAGTGATTCACTAATAAAATAAAGGTGCTTGCCTTACATGCAGGTAATCCTGGTTCTATCCTTGCAACACATATGGTCCCCCAAGAATTACCAGGAGTGATCTCTGAGCACAGAGCCAGGGGTAAGCCTTGATTGTATCCTGGCATGGCCCCAAAACAAAAACAAAATGTACCAAAACTTTATACCGATAATTGACTTCTAGGAGAGACTATGGCAGATGCAAACTTCTTTTTTGTTTTTGGACCATACCCAGCTGTGCTTGGGGATTAGTCTTGGCTTTGTGCTGAAAGATCAATCCTGACACTGCTTTTGGATCATATTCCATGCTGGGGAGCAAATACAGGTCAGCCAAGTGCAAGAAGAGCACCTTTCCCATTGTACAATCTCTTTGCCTCAGTAAATAGTTATTTTAATACTTAGGGAACAAAGGTCTACATACTACAATACAGTGCTAATTTTGAATCTGGACCATTTTTTTCCTAATATTATTCACAGTGGTGAAGCAGGCAGGTAAATTGATGATACGGTTGGGGGGGGGGTTAAGTGGGGCTGACAATGAGCTCTTGGGAAGTAATAAAATCTAGATGGGGTTTAAAGAAGTTATTCTTTCACTAGCCCTAATGTAGCAAAATGCATTATGAGTCAACCCATTTTGTTGACAAAGGAACTTTGTTATGAAAAGATTCAAACTGGTTGTAGCATATACCCTGAGAGGACTAGATCCCCCTCCAGAGAGAACCTCCAACAAGACCCTCCAGCAGGAACAAAGGTTATGATTAGGACATGAAGATGAACCACTAAAACTTTCAAGTTCTTCCTCTTGACAATGCCATAGCAACAGACTTATTTATGTAATAGTCCCACGTGAGGGCTTCTCCCATATCAGCAAAGAAAACCTGTAAAATAAGCACTGTAAATGCATTCTGGAGAGTGACCCGTATCTCCCAACAACATCTACTCTGAGCTGTTCCTTCTGGGGCAGTCCCCATTCTTTCTTTAAAGTGTTACTTTTTTTCTTTCCATCCTCATAATCTTTAAATGAAATTATTTTACTTCACAATTCATGTCCGCCTTACTGAAATTCTTTTCTGTAAAGCAAGACTACAGATTGAGAAGCCTGGCCTGAGTATGATTTAGGACTGATTTTCCTGCAGAGAGAAATTCCTTGCTCCAAGAAATCGGGTGGCAGGGATCGTTTCCCACACTGGGCAGAACAAAGGAACTTAAGTGCACTTTGAAAGCCACCTTGTGGGGCTGATGAGACACGTCTATCTATGCAGGTGCTCATCAGAGCCTTTTCATCAGATCTAGATTTTCCCCCAGGCATTTACCAATGAAAAGAAGAAAGTGATCCAGATGAAAAGAAAAAAGTGGTGGATTCCCTTCTTGAGACTGTCAACACTTCTTCTTCTCACTTTATATAAACCACCCGCAGCAGTAGTTTTACTTTATAGTCCATAGATGAGTAGCATATGCCAACAAATATAGAAAACTCCCAAGATTTTACCATAAAGTTTGTGACCTTTGAATTTTCTACCACCATCTCTGGCCATTGAAATACTTTAAGCCTTTGAAGCACTGTAAACTCCCACCTTTTAAAAGAAATACGAAGCATACATTTATTTATATAAAATTGATTAATCCTTACCACAGGTAATAAACTCAAACAATTCTATTCATGGTGAAATTTTGGGGAAGGTTTTGCGCCACACCTTGCTGTTCTCAGGACTTCCTCCTGGTCCTTTTTTCAGGGATCATTCTTCTTCATGTTTGGAGGTCCATATATTGTGTCAGGGATTAAGGGCAGGTCCACCATGATTATGGGAAGCACCCCATCTGCTCCACTATGTCTCTGGCTCTCCAAGTGCACTCTTTTGAATGCTAAATTCTCCCAAGATTATACAGTATCTCACTGACTTAGGGCACTGTGTGAAACCACATTTAAAAAAATTAATTTGTTTTTTATTTTCATTGAGTCTATGGTTTACAATGCTACTAATGATGGTTTTACATACACATAATTTCAACACCATATCATCACCAATTTACCTCTTCCCTCTCACAAGGACAACAAGACTTCTTCCACACAAGATCCCCACCAAGTCAATTTCTTGGGTCAGTTTCCCCATTATGCTACTATTGGTCCTTTGTTGCTACATTTGATTTGCATTTCTTTAATCATGAGTATCAATGAGTGCCTTTTCATATGCCTGTTGACAATCCATATGTCTTCTATTTTTTTTTATTAGTGAAACACCATGAGGTACAGTTGTAGACTTACAAACGTTCGTGCTTGGGTTTCAGTTATACAATGATCGAGTACCCATCCCTAAACCAGTGCCCATTCTCCACCACCAATGATCTCAGTACCCTCCCACCTCAACCCATCCCCCCCATCCCACCCCACCTTTGTGGCAGGGCATTCCCTTTTGCTCTCTCTTCCTGAAACCACATTGTTTCACTACTGCATCATTGATTAGATTCACCCATCCCTTACCTCTCTAGATTCAATACCTTTACTATCAATTAATATTTATTTTTTATCAATCTGCCAATAAAATGTGGAAAAATTCATGGTAAATTGAATGTTTTACTTCTCTAAACTGACTTAAACACAATGCTTTTGAAGTAAGATTTATTCAACAGTGGAGGGACGAATCAGTTAACTAATAATATTTAATATTAGAACATAAGATTAGAAATAGGTAAATCAGCAGAGTATATCTTCCTCAGCAGTGTTCTTGTTCTTTTATACAAAATGTCTGAAATTAAGAAAAAACTTCCATTATTAACACAATTAATAATAAAATGTTTACATTTTATATTAATAACACAAAAATAGAACCCCAAACTTCACCTGAAGAATAAGATAATGTATATCAATGGATACAAAATTCTCTTGATCTTTAAAACACCTGATAGTAAGATTTTTTATCCCAAGCCACAAGTCCTTAAGACTTACAAAACTTTAGTGAGCCCTCCATCTTTTGAAATACTAGCTACACCTCAAGGAGTGATTGATCACTTAGAATCAGCTCATAATCAAGCTACTATTTCTGTTTGGAGTCTCTCTCATCCAGTCAGAGTATGAATATTTGAAGAAGCGCCATGCTTGCTGCACTCAGTACAACAGCTAAAATATGGAATCAACTAGCTGTTCAATGACAGATGAATTGATAATCAAGATGTAGTATATATACACAATGGAATACTATGTGGTTTCAAGGAATAATGAAATCATGTAATTTGCTGCAACATGGTTGCAACTTGAAGATATCATGCTAAATAAAATAAGCCAGGAGACAAAGACAAACACAGGATGATCTCATTTATTTGTGGTCTATAGAATACTGAATGAAGACATATAGTAAAGGGTGGATACCTAGATCACACTTGATAACAGCCTTTAGAAAGGATTACAGAAAAGTAAAGAAATTAAGGGTAGAAGAAGTAATGGGTGAATAGGGGTATGGGCTGCAGTTATACTGGTGATATTTGTATAGCCATATATCCAAAACACAGACTCAACAAAATTGAAAACACTAAAATTTAAGCTGCAAAAGTTGGAACTTTGCAATGTACCTATCAAATTGACAGGCAGGGATGTGGCAGAAATCGGAGTTGGGAAGTAAATACGGCAACATTGGTGGAAGGAAGTTGACACTAGTGGTGGGATTGGTGTTGAAACATTATATGCCTAAAACTCAACTACTATGTAAATCACAATTCTTTAATAATTTTTAAATTAAGTGATCTTTTACTTGTGGCACACTAGCAATATATTTGTCTATATCCATTTTAAGTCACTCATTCCTTCTCTCAATCCTGCTTTTCTCCTTGAACTCTTTCTGTAAATCTTCTGCTAATATAAGAGTGTTTCATGTCTGAAATCATTATTTTTCAGTTGGGTTCCATATAGTGCCCCTGTTGGACCACAGGGCATTCCAAGTGGGTTACAGGTGAAAACTGTACAAATGGTGACAACAACACAAGACTAAAGAGCCAACCCATAAGACAAGGGCATCATATGATGGAAACAAGGCTAGAAGAGGACCATGGATAGGGAAAGATTGAGAAACACTGTTCTGAAGTATTATAGTTAAACTAAAAGTAAAGTAAATCCAAATCAAAATGTGCTTTCCAGGGTTAGTGTATGTGTTTGTCTTGTTGTTGCTGGGGATTAAACCTAGGTAAAACACACGAGGTAAGTGCTATACCACTGAACCATATCCCTGGCCTAGAATTAATTTTCTTTCATTACCATTCTCTTCTTGAAGATATATTTCATAATCCACATATCAACTGAGCATCTACAGTGTGTAGGCAATATCATAAAATATAAGCCTAATAATTCTAAATGAAGAATACTTCTTATAAACTGGTCTTAGAAGAAAAACTATTGATATACAACTTACCAGTCTCAGTAAAGCTTTTTGCTTAGACAAAAGGAGACACAGTGCTGACAGAACAACAAGTAACACAAAAGCAAGTGGCAGTAAAAATAATATGACTGTTTCCTTCAATATGTCACCTAGGAGTAAAAATCACAACAAAGAGGAAAAGGTTAGATGTTTACAGGCCTGTTTTTGTTATTTGGGCTGTGGGGTAAATTGGACACATCCAGCTGTACTCAGAGCTTACGCCTCAATTTGTGCTCAAGAAACACTCCTAACAGGGTAAGATTATTGTTCAAAAAACAATTTAGCACTATTTGAGTTCAGTTTGACACGCTTTGTCATGTTTACCAGAGCTTTGATACCATAGTTATGCTTGAATATAATATACCTTTCACTTGTGCTTTAAAAAATTTGGTTCGGTTCGGGGCTGGAGAGATAGCACAGGGGGTAGGGCGTTTGCCTTGCATGCGGCCGACCCAGGTTCAATTCCCAGCATCCCATATGGTACCCTGAGCACCAACAGGAGTAACTCCTGAGTGTAGAGCCAGAAGTGACCCCTGTGCATCGCCAGGTGCGACCCAAAAACCAAAAAAAAATTTTGGTTCATACCCGGCAATGCTCAGGGTTTTATCCTGGCTCTGTGCTCAGGGATCACCTCTGAGAAGCAGCCACCAAGTAAAGGATGCTTGGAGGGCCCGCTATGAAGTGTGTGCTCAAAGTAGATTATAGATCGACCATGATGGCCACTTAATACCTGTATTGCAAACTACAACACCCAAAAGCATAGAGAGAGAGTAAAAGGGAATATGACATCTTATTATCTCATTCCTACTTTGGACAAACTTGCAGGCTATCAAATGTAGCCTGCCCACAGGGCAGAGTCTGGCAAACTCCCCGTGGCGTACCAAATATGCCAAATACCAGTAACAATGATGGGTCTCATTCTCCTAAAGAGCCTTGAATATAATCTCAGGGCTAGGATGAAAGAGACGTTACTGGGGCCTGCTCGAGGCAATCAACGAATAACAGGATGATGAAATGAAAAAAAATGAAAAATGAAATGGTCGATCTATAATCTACTTTGAGCACACACTTCATAGCGGGCCCTCCAAGCATCCTTTACTTGGTGGCTGCTTCTCTATCTGAGCTGCCTTTTCTCCCAGCATGTGAGGCCAGCTTCCAAGCTATGGAACAATCCTCCTGGTCCTTATCTCTACTATCCTTGGGTGTTAGTCTCCCATTCTAATTCAGAGAGATAATGAATGAAAAGGTTTTTACTTCTAAATTTGACAGTGCAAAAGCAGTCTTCTTTTCTGAGTTTCCAGTTGCTTTTCCTCTAACAGAATCAGTCCTGAACAAGTTTCATTGTCAATAGAAAAGCATGCTATTGTTATATAACATAAAATAGCCAATAATACCTGTGATGAAAAACTAAGAGCACAAGCATCTCAGGAAATTTTTGTACCTAATCATAACTTAATTAATATTTTGCCAGGAGAATTCCATCAGGGTAAAATTCTCATTAACACACAACATTTTGGATTTTATGTGAAATACATTAAATATTGCATCCTTTGAGGACTTATCTAGAAGTTCACTATATCTACTCTCGTGTACAAATTGACTAATGATAATATATAATTTAGGACATGACCTTTTAAAAATAATTTTAATTTAATTAAATAATATGATTTATAACATTATTGATAGATGAGTTTTAGTAATATAATATTTCAACACCAATACCATCACCAGTGTCAAATTCCCTTCATCAGTGTTCCAATACTTCATCCAATTGAACCCTGCCTGCCACCTTGTCAGGCACATTACAAAGTTCAGTGGTTGCCGCTAAGATTTCATGTTTTCAGTGTTCAGTCTGTGCTTGGGATATGTAATTATAGCTATTTCACACATAACCAGTGTAACTAGAGACCTAACTCCTGTTCCCTCAATACTGTGTTTTCTCATTTTCTTCCTTCCCACTTGATTTATTTCCTTCTCTGTCTATCTCTTCCCCAATCTCTGGGTTCACAAGTGTTCTAGGCATCCCCCATTACTACATTATGATTCCTTATCCAATTATTCTGTAAACCACAGATAAATGAAATAATCCTGTGTTTGTCTTTTTCTAGCTTACTTCATTAAATATGGTATTTTCTAGTTACAACCAGGTTGCAACAAATTGCATGATTTTATCATTTCTTGAAGCTGCGTCATATTCCACTGTGTATAGCACTGTAGCACTGTCCTCCCATTGTTCATCGATTTGCTCGAGCAGGCCCAATATCGTCTCCATTGTGAGACTTGTTGTTACTGTGTTTAGCATATTGAATTCGTCACAGGTAGTTTGCCAGGCTTTGCTGTGCGGGTGAGATACTCTCGGTAGCTTGCCAGGCTCTCCGAGAGGGGTGGAGGAATTGAACTCATGTTGGCCACGTGCAAGGCAACACATCCTACCCGCTGTGCTATCGCTTCACCCAATGTGTATATATAGCACATATTCAATGTCCATTTATCTGTCGTTGAACACCTAAATCTATCCATATCTCAGCTACTGTACTAAGTGCAGCAATAAATAATGGTGTGCATATGTCCTTTTGGATGAATGTTTTTTAGTCCTGGAAGTAGAAGCCCAAAAGTGCAATTGCTGGGTCAAATGGCAGTTCAATTCTAAGATTACTAAGGACTCTCCATATTACTTTCCACAGAGGCTGAACCAGACAACATTCCCCGCCTGCCATGGATGAGAGTTAATTCTCACCATATCCCTGCCAGCACAGATTGTTCATACTCTTTCTAATATGTGTCAGTATCACTGATGTGAGATGATATCTCATTGTCATATTGAAGAACATGATATTTTTCACAAATGACCGCACCCATCAATTCTGGTGCCCTTCCACCTCTGCTACTAGTGCAGGTATGATGTGTCCATGCAGGCTTTGTGTTGGTATGGTTCTGGGGTAAGTGAACTATTTCAACAAGTGTGGGGTCTGTGGTGCCAGTGATCAAACTCAGCATGTCACATACAAATATGTCCACTGCCACTTTTGCTGTCTTCTGAGTATCAGACCATGATTTTTCTCATGTTAGTTTCATAGTTTCTCTACACTTTTTCCATAGTAGTAACGAAAAAATAAAAAGAGAATTCTTTCAGTTTCCTCTTATCTTTTGGTTAATTTACTTTTCCTTCTCCCAATTTTCTCCACAGTTCTTCATGATTATGCCATCCTTTTTTGCCTTTCTTAAAAATTGACTATTGCTACTCAGGAATAAAGCATAAATTCTATTAGGACTGAGATTTTTTTCCCAGTGCTGTATCTCCAAAAGTCTAAGAAGGCTCTGTATACACCTGCTTAGTAAATATTTCTCACGTGAAAGGGAAATGTGGATAAGCAAAATTTGCAGTCTTAAAATATATCTTTGGGGTGCTGTCCCTCTGCCTGCTTCCTTTTGGCGGCTCGGTGGCCGTCATCCTCCAGAGACCACTGGACAGTCAGGCTTGGGCCCGCAGTGACGAAACTTGTTGGGCCTCACGGGATGGGGTGGAGCCGGGCCTGTCCTCCCCACCCCGAGACCCCAAGTCATCGCCCACGAACGGCCTCTCTGGCTCCTCATCAAGCTGCTCAACGGCCATGATCCCAGAGACTGAGGAGCAGATCTCGAAACTCAGTGGCTTTTGGCAGAAATCCATCCAGATTTAAGTGTTAAAATTTCGGAATTTCAAAACCACATCGACCTACTGCAGCCACGCGACATCATATGTTATTCATAACCAGCAATAGAACACAAATTGTCTATTGTTGCCTTTTCAGCAGATATGAGTGTTGGGGTAAAATCTCAAATAATAATGGTGGGTCTGGTGTCGAAATATTGAATGTGATCAAAGTAGAGAGAGAGTAATGTGGAAATCATCTGCCCCACATGTAGGGGGAGGATGTGGGATGAGGGTATACTGGGGTTTTCGGTGGTGGAGAATGGGCACTGGTGAAGGTACGGGTGTTTCATTGTATGACCGAGACTTAGAGCAAAAGCTTTGTAACTGCTCTCACGGTGATTCAATAAATAAAATTATAAAAAATGAAAAAAAGTAAGGTGGAGTTCATGCACAATTCAATCAGCTAACCAGTGGCTGAATAAATCGCAGTACTCCTACAAAAATATATATATATCTTTGGCATAATGATTTTTGGCATATGGGGTGATCGATTGGGAGACAACTGGAAGTTCTCATGGATTACTGCTGGCTCTGTGCTCAAGGATCACTCCTGGAGGCATTGGGATCCGCATATGGTACCAGGAAATGTGATGAAGATTAACTGCATAAAAGGCAAATGTCTTAACCCTTGTACTATCTCTCTGGTCTCCGGGAGAACAATTATGGGGTTGACTATGTTTAAAAAATCAGACTTGAGAATGTTTTGCTCTTCCTATCCTGACTAAAATAATGTAGATCGAGCAGACTATTTCAAAAAGGGTTATGTAGGTTTGGTTGTGTAGCAACTCCTGTTTATTCAGATTGTTTTCTGTATCCCTTTGTCTTTGTATGGCATGAAAATCATTGTTTAATCCCAAAGGACAGAGAGAGTAAAAGGGAATGTGCCTGCCACAGAGGCCAGAAATGGGAAGGAGTGGGGTGGGGGGAGGGATATTGGGAACATTGGCGGCTGAGAATGGGCACTGGTGGATGGATGGGCACTCAATTCTTTGTGTGTTTTCTGTAATATACAATGATATCTATTTTTCTTTTACTGATCTGTTTTATGTCATTCTAATTATTTGACCAGACAAAAAACTAAGTAAGGTAGAAGGAATCATTACTGTATTCATAAGAAAAAATATTCAAATAGGGTTTGCAATATAATGGAACATCATGAAAAAATATTATATATACCATGTACCTGATAAATCAATGTTAATTTTCTTCAACTTCCAACCATTATTAGTAATTTCTAGTAATAAAGCTATTATACTAAAATATGCATTTCACTTCAATGTCAAGCTTTAAATTTTTATATTTTGTAATTTAATGTTTACCTATATTTCTGAAGATGACACTTTAAAACAGTGTTGGAAGGGAACGGAATTTGCATGTATTTAATGATGACATAGTAACAAGCAAACATTAAATAGA